TGTGATGGCCAGATGACAACCTTGGGTATCATCCCTCAAAAGCCATCCACTTTGGGTTTTATTTAGGTAGGAGTCTCTCACTAGCCTGGAGCTCACTAAGTAGGCTGGGTTGATGGCCTGCAAGCCCCAGAAATCAACCTGACTCTACCTCCCCAGCTCTGGAATCCCAAGTATGCACCACCACATCTGCCCTTTTTAATGTGGGTTCTGGAACTCAGGCCCCCATGCTTGTAGGGCAAGCACTTCACTAATGGACCTATCTCAGGTCTACTTCCTTATTTCTTTTGTACTCTTTGCTTTCTTTTCTAGCCTGCGAGCACATTCATAATTATTTCCTTGAGCCGCGTTAACAAGGGAGCTAAGGATTTGTGGTTTCATATGTACACATGGAAGTACATAACAAACTTTGGATATGTTTTTCTGACTGTGTCTTGTCTTTCTCAAGTTGGTCCTGAGAAGGGCTTGAACTTGTGATGGTTCGAGTCCTAGTCCCTGCCTGCTATTTTTCTGGTCCTGTCACTCCCATCCTCCACCTTTTGTGCTGCATGGAGGGAGAACGCCTTGTAGGCACAGACCCAGTGATGTCACGACTTACGTTTTGTGCTTCCCGAGTAGCTCATTGTCCAGGCGATGATTGTTTCTCTGAGTCCTCTGAGTCCTTCACTCATGGGACATGTTTGAGAAGCTGCCTCAGAAGGAGCTGGCTCTTGCCCTGATGGTTGGATGCCAGGTTTCTGGGCTGTTGGTGGTTGGGTGTGTCTTTGCCAGTTCTTCTCTCTTACAGTGTTTGGCTTTCATGAAAGATATTCTCTGGGAAGTTGGTCTAGTTTGCCTATTACCCATGGACTTGGGTCTTCTCAAAGCCATGACAAGCCTACTGATACCCATAGGTTTCCCCAAGCCATCATGTTTGGACTTTTCTTGTACCCGTGGGATGGATGTTTAGCATGAACTCTGGCATCTTGAGGCTGGATGTGTGCAAAAGGCCTGCATGGAGAGCTTTACACTGAGTGGGTGCTGCTGGTCTTGCAGGTGGAGCCTCTAGCACCATTCTTTGAGCCACACCCGCATCCCCACCATCCTAGCTCTTGGGTACTTTCTGGAAGGCACTTGGAGCTCATTTCACCCCTAGATCCCACTCCCATGAATGGAGATATCCACAGCCACAGCCCAGACCTTTGCTCATGGCTCCCGGAGAGACATAGAGCCTTACCCTCTATCTCAAGACCTGGCCCTTGCCTGATGCCTTCTCCTGGGTCAGGCTTAGTCCCATCCTGCCCAAGTCTCCATCCCAGGCAGGTGCAGGATCAAGACTACTATGCTGTGCATCCATCCTGCCCCAGGACACCGACCTAACTGCCTCTCCTCCCTCTCTGCTGGATCCCAACAACCCCATGCCATGCTCAGGCTTTCTGTTTGCTTTTTCTGCCTGGCTTTTTTCAGCTTGTTCCCTACCCCCCCCCCTTTCCTTCTGTCTTTTTTTTTCCTTGCTGAAGGTTGGAGTGGGGGCAGGGGCATGGGAGAGCTGAAAGTTGGAAGAGAGATAAGATTCATCAATATTTAATTTTTATGGAAATCGTGTCCTCGAAATCCCACGGGACTGAAAATTGTTCTGTGTTTTCAGGATCCAGTGATGTCGCTGAGGCAGTTATGTTGTAAATAAAACTGTATTACTATGTGCAGCTCTCCCGTCGCTCTGCAAACACCCAGAAACTTGACAGTTTAATCCACTCAGGGAGGCAAAAGGGTTTGGGTCACTGGTGGGGGCAGTGACATGCTCATGAAGTGGGCAGCCCTGGGATATGAGAATGGAAGGCTCGACCTCAGCAGCATCAGTGCCAATGGGGAGAGCTAGGAGCCCTCCAGCCTCAGCAGAGCACAGGCTGGGGACACTGTTGGCCTCAGCAGGGATCCCAAGATAGCAGGGCCCTAGGGGTGGGATGGCTGACTCTGAGGTAACTGCTTTCCCCTCCCTTACAGCCTTTGATGCTCTTGACCTTAGCTAGCAGGAATATGGCATGGTTCGTTGTCAATAGGTTTTGATGGTGCTGGAATCTAAAAAGGATGTTCATTCATTCATTCATTCATTCATTCGTTTGTTCATTCATCAAACACTTACTAAAAATCTGTCACACATTAGAAGACTGTTTTAGACCCTGAGGGTGTGGCGACACACAAGACACAGAAATCCCTTCCCTGTTTATATCCTTGTGAGCAGGGCAAGACAACAAACCAGGAGAAGAAATAAAACCTAGGGTATGCTGCGCGGTGGTGAGTGCAGCGGTGAAGAGAAAGGCGGGGAAGTCCATGGGAGTTTACCCAGGAGACATTCATCCTTAGATGTCTCAAAGCCACTCTGTTCACAGTGGCTGGAAACAGCCCGGACAGCCATCAAAAAGTGAGTTGGTCAACGCACGGTCCAGCCACACGTGGAATTCTATGTGACAGTAAGAAGGAACAAGCTGCCGATGTGTGAAGCGGTGGGGACGGATTAAACAAATGGTTTTCTGAATGAAAGAAGCCACGCTCACAAAAACACACACTCGGCGATTCTATTTATGTGACACTCTAGAATGGATGCTGCTGATTCACAGTGATCGAAAGCAGGATGGCGGTGGCTTAGGTTGAGGCAGGGAGAGATGTAGGAGAAAGGACAGTGGGACCTCTCGGTGGATGGAAGTGCTGCCTATCTCGATGTGTGTTCGTCCGAGCTGGCCAAGTGCTAGATGTGGGGTCAGAGCACTTCATCAGGAACTTAACAAGCAGTATGCACACACAGCAGAGAAGGAGGTGGGAGAGCACTCAGTTTGGAAAGGGGTGGACAGAGGAGGCCTCACTGAGATGGGGGCTGGAAGAAAGAGAGAGTGGTGTGTGGGGAGGAACATTCCAGGCCGTTGAAGTTAACAGGTGCAAAGGCCCTGGGGTGGGAGCCTGGCTCAGTAGCCAAGGAACAGAGAGAGCTGGTGTCTTAGCTGACTCAGGCTGCTGCCTCAGCACCACGGACTGGGCAGATTAAACAGCGGATATTAATCTTCACATACCTCTGGAGGCTAAAGCTGGAATCATAACTTGGAGGTACCAGCAGCCTTGGTTTCTCCTAAAGCCTCTTTCCTTGACCTGTATCTCCCAGGGTTGTTGGATGCTTACATTGGCCTGCTCTTCCTGTGAGATCACCAGTCACAATGAAGGGCCATCCCAACCTGACGGCTTTATTTTGACTAACTCTATGGAGAATTGTTTCTAAATAAGGTCCACTCTGAAAATCTACCATCACAGGCTGTGCGGGAATGAGCAAGGCACCGCCAAGCCACTGTGTGCTCCCTAAGGGTAACACAGGGGCCTGGAAGCCCCCGTTGGGGTGAAGGTTCTACTGAAGGACAAGGCAGGATGCTGGTATGGTGAAGGAAGGGGGTGAAATTGCAGGGGCCGTACACCACTTTTCACCAGTTCACATCCATGGGGACTGACTTCCAGGAATGTCCCTAGTCAGGCTACCAATGGGGGGCTTATTTGTAAAGCAGTGTGGGGCCCCTGTATGGAATCTACTTAAAGACACAGTGGGACCTGTCAGTCCCTTGTGTCGGTGAGCACAGCGCCATCCTAGCATGAAGAGGAACGGGGAGGTGAGGGACCGGGATTTCTGGGCTCAGAGGAGAGGCTCCACAGTGCCCTGGGAGTCAGTGATTAGCATTTCTTTCTGGCTGTGTCCCCCAGGCTCCGCTTCGCCTCCCCTGGCTGCGACACTATCTCTTGTCTAACATGAGTGCATAGCTCCTCGGCTTTACCAAGCCATGCACAGAAAACGCTATTGATTTTCCTTATTTATTTATGAGATTTCTTGCTGAGGGCAAAAAATAAAAAGGTTTGTGCAGTGGCTCCCTTCGCAACAAACACCATCCTCCACCCACTGCCTCCATCTGTCACACAGGCTCTGGGCCTAAGAGGCCTGCTGTGCCCCTGGGAGACATGGGGGTGGGGCTGAATGTCCCACCTACTGCCCGGCATGTAGTGGATGCTCACAGGCATGTGTTGGGGAGGTGACTGAATGCGTTTCTTGAATGAACTGTGGCAGACACTCAGAAGGGTAAGGAAACCAAACATGTCCCGTTCCTATGTGAAATGCCTACTGGGTGGTCAGGAATAACCACTGGGCCCCAGCTCATCTAGCCATCAGCCTACAGGGTCTATTTTATTGTCTTTTATCAATGGTGAGAGTCTGAGTGGTTGAGCATCTTACCCATTGTTGTACACGTGAGCCAGATTTCACATCCAGGCCTTCAGGATTCTCTTTCATGCTGTGTGATGTGGACACTCCAAAGCAGAACAAAAGCCCACTTGAAAGCTGGCTGAGTCCTCAGAAATAGCTGTGTCCAGTCTCTGTCTGGTGGGGACTTTCCATTCTCAGAAAGGTCCCATCCATCATCAGAGCATGTCAGGAAGGAACAGGATTTGTGTTTCTCTACTCTTCAGTCTTTGGAGAAAAGACTATAGGATCTGTCCCCATTCTGCTGTGAGACCTCTCTAGGCCAAGGGTTGGCTTTTGTCCATTTCCAGGGGGAGCATAACTAGCCAAGGGTCTGTTGTCTAACAATACGGCGCTCCACATCCCAAGCTGCCCGTGTCAGCAGAGCTGGCTTCCTGTCCCCACAGCTTCACTTATGTGGATGTCTTCCCTGGTGTCCTCATTCTACCACTCCTGCCAGATGCCAGCCACAGCCTGGACCCTGTTCCAGGACCGCCCAGCGTTCTGGCCTTTGTTCGCCTGTGCCCAGACGCTCACGCAGTGTGGTGACAGTTGTCACCCGTTCGCTCTGAGCTCCTGCAGGGCAGAAGTCATATCTCACTTCTGTGGCTACCTCTGGTTTAAACACAGAGCCTGGTGGTCATCCCTGCTGAGCCTGTGTGAGTGGTAGCACCTCCACAGAGTGCAGCTAACACCTGAACCGCAAGTACAAGCCACTCCCTCCCTGGCCTCACGCTCCTCCTCTTCTTCCCTACAGGAGTTTCCTCTGGCCATCCTCCGGGGCTGGGACTGCTATTGTACCTACCCTACCCCTCAATTCAGCCTGCGGGATGCTGTGGATGGAACACTGTGCAGCCAGGCCCCTGAGGCTCAGGAGCTACCTGGCTACTGTGAGGTTTACCAGACACCTGTACAAGGTGAGCTCTGCATACCCTCCTGGACTGTGGCATTGGTCTGGAGCAGTGATTCTCAACCTTCCTAATGCTGTGACCCTTTAGTACAGCTGTGGTGATCCCCAACCATGACATTATTTTCGTTGCTGCTTCATAACTGTAATTTTGCAACTGTTATAAATTTTAATGTAAATATTTGATATTTCTGGCAGTCTTAGGTGACACCTATGAAAGGGTCATTCTAACCGCAAAGGGTTGAGAACTACTGGTCTGGGCCCAAAGTGCTCCCAAGGCTAGAAAGACTAGGTATGCCTAACTATAAAGCCACAAAACAGGGTACAAGTTATGTAGAGTTCCCTGTATCTCTTCTCAGTAGATAAGGGAGAGGAAAGGTCGGGTGAGGCCAGGCTTCTTTTGAAAATATGAGCTATTGGAGATGGTAGTATAAGAGGCAGAGAGGAAGAGCAATGAAAAGGGGAATAATGCAAGACTCAGAGGCACAGGAAGGGCACTTAGGTCTCAGAAGCCTCCATGTGCTTGCAGTCCCCTAGGGTGAGCATCATCACAGTTGGGCTCTGTTGATCCCAGGGACTGATGGGGAAGACTAGCTCGTAGAGAGAAGCATCCCCGCTGTTGTCCAGTGCCTCCAGGGATTGCCCCCTAGTGACTTGTATGTCTTCCAGCAGCCCTGGGGAGAGACCATAAGAAGCACAGCTGTTGGCCTGAGATCAGCCCATCTTCAGTTCATTGCGCTGCAGTGGGTCCATAGTTCTGTCCATCTCCCCTAGCAGAATCTGGAGTTCTCGGTGTTATGCCAGGATACTTTGGCTGTCCCAAAGAGCTAGAGTGGGGTGAGTGTCCCTAGAACACTCAACTCCCAGCCACGAGGGATGGGAGGCTTTATCATATCACTCAAGGTACAGGTAACAAATTGCTTAATCACCAGTCCCTGTCCAGAGGGCTTCAGCAACAGCTCTGAGATCACAGTGCAGGTGAGTGACTCCTTGGTGACTTCTGGGCTTTCAGACACCCGGTGCACAGACAGGAGGTTCCTGCCCAACAAGTCTAAAGTGTTTGTGGCTCTGTCAAGCTTCCCTGGAGCTGGGAACACATGGGCAAGACACCTGATCGAGCACGCCACTGGCTTCTACACAGGAAGCTACTACTTCGATGGAACTCTGTACAACAAGGGTAAGCCAGGGGTGCTGGGGAAGAAGAGGCAGCCCCAAACGGTCCCCTCACAGACCAGCCCTCCTCAGAGCACTGGAATTTCTCCATTGCTCCCCAGACAGTAAGGGATTAAGGGTGAAAATTAATCTGCCCATTCCTCTTTTTTCCTGGCAAATGGTAACTCTTCGAAATGCCATTTAAAAAAAAAAAGTCCAGAAATGCTCAAGAACTTTATGATTTCTAATCTTTCCCCTGTAAAACTAAGCGGTCTCATTACGCTGAATAAATTAACCCGCTCAAGTTTGTGAGCTGCTCAAGAACGCAGACCCTCAGACAAGTCAAGTGGTGTCTAAATTTGGCAAAATGTATTCCTCAGTTGTCACGGGGTGCAGCATTTGCTCTGGGCTTCTGTACCAGAGTTTGGATTGCAAAAAGAGCTGATACTGTCAGAAACCAAACAACCTAGTGTGCTTGGCAGTGAGTTCTTAAAGTGGTTGTGCATGTGTAGCCTAGCCCATCTTCCCTGAGAGGCTAAGGGCACCTACAGATGCGGGAGACAGTTGCCAGATAAACACACGGCCCTGCTTTCATTCACTGACCCCTGTGCCGAGGCTGTAGTGACCTACAATATTTGCCTAGGAGGCCTGTACCAGCTGCCTGGATTCACATGTAGATGAGTGGCCAAAGAGTGGAATGCCAGCTTCAGGGCTGCCAAGAGGCACCTGGGCTGTGGGCTCTCAGGCATGGTCTAGCACTCATTTGGCTATAGTTTGAATCTTCCTCTTAATGGCATCCTAGCCTGTTTGATAAAAATCAATCAAGGCAAATGCTTCTGGTGTTTGACCCATGACATTAGCCAGCTTTGGTGGGTAACCTCCAGTTCTGGGTTTGAGAGTTAACATTTTCCAGGTACCAGGAAAGCGCTGATGCCACCGTAGATATGGATGCTTTGCAACCACTACTGAAGGGAGGCTTCTGTGTTTTCAAAACCCCAAAACAAGTTTATGGAGATTTAAGGAGCCTGTTCTCTGAGCTGGGTATCCTGACCTATGGTCCAGAGACCCTGGGCATCATCCAGAAAGCCTCCAGAGCATCCCACTTTGTGGGTTCTCCTGCTCTGCTCCCTTAAGCCCCTGTGCTCCACACTTGGACCATATCACCTAATGGTCCACAGCCTTAAAGTTGGGGTCCGCTCTTGTTCCTTGATTGCTGTCATATTTATTCTTCCTGTTGCTGTGACAAAATAATGCAGACGGAAGCAACTCAAGTAAGGGTGGGTTTATTTGGATCACAGTTTGAGATGGAGTCCATTGGGGAAGTCAAGGGAGCAGAAGACTGAGGTGGTTGTGTCTGCAGTCAGTAAAAAGAAAAGCAATGGATGCTTATACTCAGCCAGCTTCCTCCTCTTCTGTGGTACAGGACCTGCTTCAGGGCAAGGTTGTCACTTTCCTTTGGGGTAGGTCTGGCTCCTTCAATTAACCCAATCAAGATTGTCCCCCATGGACATGCCAGTGCCATATCCTTCACGCATGTGCCCAGAGACTTGTTTCCTAGCTGAGTCCAATCTTATCAAATTATAGCACTAGCCACCAACTGATCCAAAGTCCAACACAAGGAGCCACGAGAGCTTTGTGGAATCTTGTGACTCTGGGGACCAATGAGTCCAGTCTGATCTTTCCTCTCAGTCAGCTGTCACTGAGATTCTAAGTGTACAGTGCTTCACCAAGGATCCAAGGGAAGGTGTGGGTAGCAGAGATATTGGTCTGGGGGACAACCCTCCATTCATGGGAGTAGGGTTATAAGTCCTCAAATGCTGTGGGTGAGGCCTTTTCCAGACTTGCCCTGGATCCTGTAATAGAGAATCTTTACTCTTGTGGTAGTCCAGGGAGCTGTGATCGGCTATGGCATAAGGTCATAGGGAGGCTCCTGTTGTTTACAGTCACTGGCCCATGATGGCTGCCTTGTCTCTCCTGGAGAGGTGGCTAGAAGACAGGGGCTTCACAGGAACACTCAAGGGCTCAGAGACAGAGCTCTGGCACAGTTGTCAGGATGCTGTGTGACACTGTGTAGGTCACATACCCACTCTGAGCCTCTGTCTTCGTCTGAGCCAAAATTCTTTGTAATGCTCCTCTGGAATTATCTCCCTGGAAAGTCCAACATTTGTATCTATAATCAGACCCTGGGGACTGCAGAAGGTAATTTGCCTCATGCCGATGTGAGCATCCTCTTCCCTACTGGTAGACACCTCCTGTTCATACTTTCCCTGAGACAACAGTCACTCCTGTGAAGGCCTCTCCTGCCCCCATTCATAGAACCCCCAGTACCCTCTCATCAGTCCTTGTGTTATTGTGGAAGTGGGATCACCCCAAGTGAGGGTGAGGATACCTTCCTCCACAGAGGTCCTCTGATTCCTCCTGAGCAGGGTTCAAGGGTGAGAAAGACCATTGGCGTAGCCGGCGCACCATCTGTGTGAAGACACATGAGAGTGGCCGGAGGGAGATCGAGATGTTTGACTCCGCCATTCTCCTGATCCGGAACCCCTACAGATCTCTAGTTGCTGAATTTAATAGGAAATGCGCTGGACACCTGGGCTATGCCCCTGACCGCAACTGGAAGAGCAAAGGTGAGGGATGGATGGCCTGGGCAGGGGACTGACAGGTGTACCAGGGTGGTGCAAGGTCAGAATACATGTTCCTGGCTGTGGGAAGGCCTGGTCGCACTCATTTCTCCCCATCTTCCCCAAGCTTGCTCTGTCCACACTGCCATGCCGATGGCAAGCCAAAATCCTCCTCTATCCACCCCCAGTGGTGGGTGGTGAGGTCACATAGACCTAGGAGTTGCATAGAGCTGAGACAGCCCTAGGCACACATGTCCCTGTCTGCCCCTCAGCCTGAATCAGGAAGCCATGTTCACCTGCCATTCAGAAGTAGGAAGAGAGTGTGCACACCTGGTCTGTGTCCAGGGTTTAGCATGATCGTCCTTCCTAAGCTGCCCCCACTGACTTTTCTATGGTTTGTCCAAGTAACTCTCCAGATGAGCCCAGAGGGTAACTTGATTTGTCCAGGGTACCAGGATGATGGTGGGCAGGGCTGGGTCTTAATCCTGCTTCCGAGTCAGCTTGGACAACCATAGCAATACAGTGGAGATGGGGACTTAAATAACAGTTCTTTATTCTTCATGTCCAGTGAGGCCCTTCTCCCAGGTTTCAGACAGTACTCCACGGCCATATGGCAGAGACCCTCTTCTTGTAGGGACACGAATCCCATCTCAAGGGCCACACTCTTATGACCTCATCTAACCTAGATTGTCTTCCAAAAGCCTCTTTTATACACACTATCATATTCAGGTACAGAAATGCAGACATTCGGTCATAACACCCTCGTTTCCTGATATGGCATGAACACTCTCTTTAAGAAGTGATCCTTTTGACCTCAGCTCCTGAAATTCTACCATTTGCCAGGCCCTGGCTGAAGATCCTGCCCTTGAAGAACTGTGGTCTGGTCTTTGACCCCTCCAATCATAGACTGAACCCTAGTCTCCATTATGATGATATTTGATGGAGGTGCACATCTGGAGGTGACGATGTCAGTTAAGTCATGAGCAAAACTACCCAGGGCAGCATGGGTGGAGATGCTACAGGGCCAGCACCAGCTGAACCTGTGCTACCCAGGGCAGCATTGGGTGGAGATGCTAGCAGGGCCAGCACCAGCTGAACCTGTGCTACCCAGGGCAGCATTGGGTGGAGATGCTACGGCGCCAGCACCACTCCTCCTTGTCCAGGATAGTCCCAAAGGTCAAAGAACTCACAGCACACAGGAGAGGGCCAGCTTTCGCTTGAGACATGGCAGGCTATATCTGTCTTAAATTGGTACCCAAAATCACTGTCTTTCAGGCAGACCTAGGCCTCTGCCAAGTTGAACTTGACAGGAACCCTTCATTCACACTGGACACCCAAGCGGATCAGCCTCAGGTCGAGAGGTCAAAAACAGGCAGCACCTTCTCCTCGACAGGCCCTTCAGAGCCAGCAGCCCCAGGAGGCAACCCTGACTTCATTACTTCTCTCCCTGTTTCAGAGTGGCCAGACTTTGTGAATAGCTATGCCTCCTGGTGGTCCTCGCATGTCCTAGATTGGCTCAAGTACGGGAAGCGGCTGCTGGTCGTGCACTATGAAGAGCTGAGGCGCAGTCTGGTGCCCACGCTGCGGGAGATGGTGACCTTCCTCAACGTCTCTGTGAGCGAGGAACGGCTTCTCTGTGTGGAGAACAACAAAGAGGGCAGCTTCAGGCGACGTGGCCGGCGCCCTCATGACCCGGAGCCCTTCACCCCTGAGATGAAGGACCTGATCAATGGCTATATCCGGACAGTGGACCAGGCTTTGCGTGACCACAACTGGGCTGGCCTGCCCAGGGAGTATGTGCCCAGATGATAGGCCCACCCTGGCTACCTGGTCCTGCTGAGATGCAGCTGGACTAACGGGCTGAACACTGCTCTAGTGCACTGATCTGTGGACCCCTGGGCTGCATGGCTGCTGGCACACAGTCAGCAAGGTGTTCTCGCGGGTGCAACTTCATGAGCAGGGGATCCACCAAGCCTGCCCAGACAGATGTGCATCACAGGACACTCCTTGCACATCATCAGACACACTTAGACATCATCCACCACTCACAGTGCCCATCTTTATGTGCCTAAGCCAATTGAGTAGGGTGGACTAGACACTCCCAGCTTTGCAAACACAGCCAGATGTGGACACATACGTACAGGTGCCAGGGTGTATGCTTACAGAGACTGACTGTCTGCCTCATATAGACACACGTGCACACACTCAAGGCTACGGGAGGCCTTTGGCTTCCTGGGTCCAGCTGGGCACAAACTGGACTTTTGGGGCTTTTGGCTCTGGAATACCATACTGGGCTGGTGGTATTGCTCCAGGCAGTACAGTGGGAACTGGGGGGATGGAGGTACACAGAGTGTTGCTGATGGGTACTGTGTGACCCTGGCTGCGTGTCTGACATCCCATAAATGTGTGTGCTGTGACATCCTGGCACTGCAAACCACTGTGTCTCTGCCTCTCTCTTCTCTATGGATGGGGACTGGCAACACTGGCAGCATGGGGCCTGCTGCTGCCCACCCCCACCCCTGCAAGCATACACATGCTGACCTTAGAACAGCCACTGCTATTCAACACAGTGCTGTTACCCTCTTTTAGCTAACAACACCAGGGCATCTAAGTCCACTTGCTTCTCCACCCAACTGTTTTGGGAAGCTGCATCTTCAAACCCTGTCTGTAAGGAGTGAGGGTCAGAGGCTGGCATAGCGGCTTGGCCTACAGGGGACCTCCAGACTCAAGGGTGACCACATACCAGCAGGAGGGGGTTGTGGTGAGAAAAAGAGGCCCTAGGTGAGATGTCACCTCAGGGACCACTAGGAGCAGTTGCCCCTCATATTAGCAAGCCCATGCCCTATGGAAGTCACACAGAAAATTCTATACAAGCCAAGTATAGAGACATCCACCTTCCTTCTGAGCACTTTGGAGGTGAAAGCAGTAGACTCAGGCCCTCAGGCTCATCATCAGCTTTGTATCATGAATCTGAAGCTAGCCTGGGCTACACAAAAGAGCACAGAGTGCCAGGTGATCCTTGAAGAGGCTCGACAAAGCCTCTGCCCGCCCCCTGTGGCAGAACCCTCCCTGATACCACATTCACTCTGACTTTGCCTGTCACTGCTACCATGACACTGCCTCTACCACACTTCTGGCTTTATTTCTGTAGCTAACCTTGTTCCCCATCCTTGGTCCATGTCTTCATCAAAAGACAGTAAGATAGAGAAATAGTCTTCCTTAGTCATCCCCACTCTGCCCTCTGTGCTACTCACGGGGCCATGATGAGTGTGACCCCCTTCCTGCCAGTCTCACCAGTGTGGGATTGTCCTAGTGGGTGTGGGAAGCCAGTCACAGAGGAAAGTATGTGTTATGTGATTTCAGAAGGGCTAAGTGAGCTACATCCCCAGGATCTTCAGGGAATGCTTCACAGCAGTCTAGAGGTGGTTTTAAATGAGAATGGCCCCTGCTAGGAAAGGAGGGACAGCATGTGTGCATGTGCGGAGGTTTGGCGGTCCCTCTACCTCTGCAGTAGGAGGAGGGACGTAGAAATGGACTTGGCTCTCATAGCCTTTTAGTGTTCAGCCTAGCCTGCCAGCCTGAGACCAGAATAACTGCTTATGCTCACAAGCCTTGTTAGGTCACCTTTGCTGTCTGTCTTGTGCTCAGAAATGGATGCAGTTTGTGAGCAAGGAACAAGAGAGGGAGTAAGAGGTGGGGATTGATGGGCCCTGGCAAGGGTGAAGAACAGGTTGGGCCTAAACTCCATAGGGCTTCTCCATGAGAGGTAACCCTGGCAAGAATGAGGTGCCTGCTTCTGGGAGCCTTCTAAAGTCCTAAGAGGAAGATCTCAGTGGCCCTGGGTCAGGTACCAGTAGCCTCTGAAGGGGAAGGCAGGGGCCTCTGAATGACCAGATTAAGTCAGAATGGAAGAAGACCCTGTGATTACATTTTCTGAATGGTTGGCTCTTTCAAGGGGGAGCAACTGCCTTAAAAAGCAAGAAACTAGCAGAACAACTCTAGTGTGGCTCTCTCTGACAGATTTCCAAAATGCAGAGTCCTGATCCTCAAATCTAGCAAAGGAGGTTTTTGCAAGCTCTATCTACAGATTCAACTGACTTCAAAGAGGAGGACAACACTGCCATACTTCTTGCCCTTGGAATGCCCTCAGGGAGACATCCCTCAACCCAAGCAAAGCTTATAGAAGGAGAAGCAGTGTGGACATTTGAGAGGATGGTCATGGCAAGGTCCCAACCTGCTCCCTGGCTAGGTTGGTGTTCTTACCTGGGAATATAGGGTGGTAGTACGTACCACAGAACACCTCCCCTAGCTGCATATCTGCTCCTAAGTTTACAAGTCCTTCCTGTAGAGTTTATCCTTTTTTAATCACACCCTGCCTCCTGCCTACAAGTGCTCTTCCCACACCCATATCGTTTTATTTTGTTTTGTAACCCACTAAGTTTAATCGGGGCCATCTGTGAAATCACAGGTTTGAAACTATTTGTTGGGGCATAGCATCATCAGTGAGTACACAACATCAGTGAGGACACAGCATCAGTGAGGACACAGAATCAGTGAGGACACAGAATCAGTGAGGACACAGCATCATCAGTGAGGACACAACATCAGTGAGGACACAACATCAGTGAGGACACAGCATCATCAGTGAGGACACAACATCAGTGAGGACACAGCATCAGTGAGGACACAGCATCATCAGTGAGGACACAGCATCAGTGAGGACACAGCATCATCAGTGAGGACACAGCAACATCAGTGAGGACACAGCATCATCAGTGAGGACACAACATCAGTGAGGACACAGCATCATCAGTGAGGACACAGCATCATCAGTGAGGACACAGCATCAGTGAGGACACAGCATCATCAGTGAGGACACAGCATCAGTGAGGACACAACATCAGTGAGGACACAGCATCATCAGTGAGGACACAGCATCATCAGTGAGGACACAGCATCATCAGTGAGGACACAGCATCATCAGTGAGGGCACAACATCATCAGTGAGGACACAGCATCAGTGAGGAAGACAGTATCTGCCCCATGCCCAGAATCCATCAGTATCCCATTGTTCAGTAGTGAGGAGTAAAGCCATCTACTGACTTGCTTTCCTGGACTTGCTCAGTTACCTCCCTTACAGCCCAGGACCACCTGCCTATGGGCAGCACCACCCACCGTGACCTGAGCACTCTCACATCAATTACCAATCAAGAAAATGCCCATGAATGTGGCTGGCTATAAGCTAATCTTATGGGGAAAACTCAGTTAAAGTTCCCTCTTCCCAGGAGGTTCAAGTTGACAATGAGAGCTAACTATGACAAAGTCTTTCTCCCAGCACCCCTGCCAGTAGTTTGCCTTGCACCTTTCAGTACTGTGAAAGCTGGCCGTCAGGGAAGAGGATGCCAGCTCAGCTACAGCAATAGTGTCTTATCAACTAGTTCTGGTGGCCATTCAAGAAGAATGACCCACGTTGTTTTGGTTTCCCATGACTCTGGGGCCTCCATGGCTGCCCTGGTTAGTTTTTTTGTCAACTTGACACAAACTCAAGTCACTTTAGAAAAGAGGGTCAAAATTGAGAAAATGCCCCAATCATATTTTCCTGCAGGCAACTCTGCGGTGCATTGTCCTGATGAATGGTTGTCATTAGTGGACTCAGGCCATCGGGAGTGGTGCCATTTCTGGGTAGAGGGTCCTAAATAGTTTAATAAGGCAGGCTGAGGAGGCCACAAGGATCAAGACAATAAGGAACATTTCTCTGAAGCTTTTGCTTCAGTTCCTACCTCCTGGTTGTTGCTCTGGGTTCCTGTCCTCACTTCCCTAAGTGATGAACTTAATAAGCTGTAAGGTGAAATAACCCTTTCCTCCCCAAGTTGCTTTTGGTCATGGTGTTTTGTTACATCAATAGAAACCTTAACAAAGAAGACAATGGCCAACAACTCAGGGAAGTGTCCCATACCTGGCACTAGAATTTTTGTTTAAGAATCCCTGGCTATTGGGCTCAGCATTATTCAGTCGTGCAGGCAATCACCCTTCAAACTAACTTCAGATGCCCATGTCTCGCTGGCATAACATAAGCAATACAAGAAGACAGCCTGTGCCCAATAAGAACTGCTAGTCCCATCGTAAGCACCCCTCATGAGAACTATTTAGGGGAAAAAAAAGCAAGACAAAGAGTTCAAAAGAACTACTATAAACATGTTCAAAAACTTCAAATAGGACTCAGAGAGAATGGGAATAAAGCCTCTGAAATGTGGAAAGAGAACAAACAGCTGAATGAAATTTAGGATATGAAAGTAGAATTCAATGAATAGGTAGAAATTCTAAAGAAAGTCCAAACTGAAATTAAACTGGAAATGAAAAAAGTCAATAAATCAAATAAGAAACTCAATGGAAAGCCTTGCCAGCAAAATTGATCGCATGGAAGGCAGAGTTCGGGGGTTTGAAGACAGGGTAGAGGAATGAATTACTCAAAGGAAATAATAGTTTTATGAAATCACATAAATGGAGCATGCAGGATATTTAAGGCACTATGCAAAGACCAATTCTAAGGAACCTATTCTTGGCCTTCTCTTAGGATCACTCAGTTCAGCATAAATCTGGGAAGGCTGGAGTCTCCAGCAATCTATTCAGGCTTGGGATATCTCCACCACTCAATCTGAAAGAACAATCGAGGCAGTTCCCTAGGAGAATCCATGATATCTTGAAGGGAAGCCAGGAAAATCCGGCATCCCAGAGTCTCAAATATACAGCAGACATGATGTCAGACTTTGGAGAGCAAAGAGCTAGAGTCTTCCTGAGATGATTCGTGGCCTCCTGCTGGTCACCCAATAGATCCCCAAAGGTAGGCTTAGAAGAGTGTGGAGGGAGACCTGGCAGGGTCTGCAGCCAAGCATGATGCCCTGGTCTTCCCCTGCCATCCCAGGAGTCTGGGAGAATAGCAGTTCCAGAGAGTTTATCTGGGAAGTTGGGGTGATATGTTCACAGCTGCCAGGTACCCGAAGGCCTCGCCTCCTGTCAGCTGGAGCACTACCAATTCATATGGCTCATTGTGTTGCGTGGATAAATGAGTGCAAAGGCCCTGTGGTGGCGGCTGACCTTCCACGGGTCAACCCAATCAGCTTCATTAGGAGGGAGCATCTGCCCACCCTTTTAGAGAAGTCCATTAGACTCATCCATGACTCTCAGCTGCTCACTAGAGAGGATGCTCCTATGCCCACTAGCCAAATCATAAAAGCCAATCTGTCTGGAAAGCAGGCGTGTGACAACTGCATCGGGACCCAATTAGAAGAGAACAGCAAAGCCCTAACCGTCTACAGATTCCAACTCCAGTAGCAAGGCTGTGAAGTGGCATAAACCTGTGTTTAAAACATGCAATTTTCATGGATTTTATCTCCTGTTGTGGATCAATTTGGAAAAACCAAAATATATAATTTT